CGACAAGACCGACCAAGGGATAGCAGAAATGGGATGGCAACTTTATCCACCATCACACACTTCATGGGACTGCTACTGCTGGCAACCCAATCATACATCACGGTGTTGCTGCTGCTAGCCTCGCCGTCCATAAAACAGAGGTCTAGGCCCTTCGGGGAGTCCAGCGCCCGCTCAAGGACGGGACGGTCACGGTGCTGCTGGCTTGAACGACAGGACCCACCAAACATGTAGAACTTGAGTGGCAACCTTTATCAGTCAGGGGTTTGTTTATTGGAGTTTAGCGAGTAGAGTAAGAAAAGAGTCGAGTTGAACTATCAGTTGCGCGTGCTTGCTGTCCAGCAGAGTGCACAGTTTGGTTTGTTGCATCACCAGCAAAATTCGCCGATCTAATTCGCGCTTAAGAATGACCAATGTCTGTGGTTTTGTTCTTTCTATCTCTTCAGTAGTGCTGTGTTGATATCGTTGGAGGACCGAAGCGAATTTGGTTTCTATGTCTTCTCTAAGTTGTATGATGGTGCTAACGCAATCTTCTCCAACATTTGTCGTATACCACTGGGCTGCGGGCCCATTCTGAACCTTAGATGGGGGTTCATTGTTGTCCCATTCTCTAATAAGATCGGTTAGATAGTTAGGTAGCACTGCATCGGTGGCTGTAGCCTCCTGTCGGAGCTGAATAAAGCTGCCGGACATTTGCGCACACGCGTGCTGCAAACATTCTGGAATTTGGGACATCTCTCCTCGGCAGCAGTTATGCAGAAGGTCGATGCTTTGACGGTCAAAAGTCAGTCTCTTCTGCCATTGGTCTATATAGTCGAACATTTTCCCAATAAATTCTGGGAAAGTGCGCGGTAGCGCACTTATAACAACTGCGAGGGGGGGCAGCATGGCATATCGAAACCGGAGTCTTGCCTCGCTGCCCTGAGCCTCTATAATTACGGCGTTCACCAAAGAGAGCCAGGCGCGCAGCGAACGAACAGTCAACATCGTCATAAAGTCCACACGAAAGCTCACTAGTACGTTCAAGGACTGGATGTCGAATTTCTCGCCCCAGGAATTCCCGTCCACAATAATTCCTCCTATATTAGCTACTATCTCATTATCTGCGACCGTATCCTGCTTCGGCAAATATTCTCCGGCGTCACCGTCTGCAATCAAGCTGGTATCCAAATCTTGCCCACCATCAGCAATTAGGCCCAGTAGACCGGAGTCATCTGGCATGAATCCAGCCATATCTTGGTTCTGGATTGGGTTCGACTCCGGTGGGTTCGATCCAGCATCCAACACACCACCATCACTTGGCCGACGACCCATTTCGTTCCGGAACGCGGGGAAGTCAAACCCGTTGGCAGCGCTGTTTTCTCTCGCTGCCTGCTTTATACATGAAGGCCGAGTGATGCTTCCGAACAGTGATGCCAACAAAATACTATGGCAGGACGGATCCTCGGAAATTCTTGAGACCACCGCCAATGAATGAGAGTCTAGACCACCAGAACATTCATCATCCAACGCATCCAGCCCTGCCCATAGCTCTGTTAATAGCACCTGGGCGTCATCACTCACCCGCATTTTTTATTCACCCGTATGACTGATTCCCTGGTCCGAGCGCCCGAAACACCCACAGATGATGCTATCGTCAGTTTGGGGTCGTGGGTCATTTTGACAGAATTAGCCTCAAAGACCAGCCGCATAGAGTTTTTGGATCCCGTCAACAAGTAATTCCTTCCCTACGCGCTTGGCGCTACGCGCTTGGCGCCACGCGGGCGCAACACGTGTTTGCGTGCTCATTTCCAGACGGATTCCATTGTTGTAGAGAGGTTCGGTTCCTTCGAAAGTGGAATATTCCGTACAGTTGCTTGTTGGGGATACCCTATGGCGCCACGCTGACGCTAGACCACGAGGGGAAATGGCGCCGTTGTCGGCGGTTGAATATAGATGCGTTTGTTGCGGAAACACTAGCGGAATTACGCCGTCAAGGGGTAGACATGGGCAGTGAGGACGAGGAGAGTGAGGATGAAGGTGCTCCATTGGTTCCGACTGGTTCCCAGGGCTCGCAGAAGCTACAGACGGATGATGTTATAAGCATGAAGAGCGACAAAGTTTCTCTAAGGGAGTTGATCATTGGTCTTTGTAAGGGCAGTGGTACTTTCCGGCGACGTACAGCCTTTAGTCAAGAAAAGTACATACGGAAGAAGCTGGACCGCCATGTGTTGCAGGTCGGTATTAAAAAGTGCGATTCGCAAAACATTTGGGACGCGTACGCCTCCGCCTGGAAATTAGGAGGTCTAGACTCACATTACGCCGGATACCTCCTTAACCAAGCGAATATTACAGCAGGTCAGAACGTTCTCGTCTTTGACCATTCACTTGGCTTCCTCACCGCCTGCGTCCTCGATCGTCTTGGCACGTTGGGCAAACTTATTTTCGCCGCGGAGTTTCGAGGAGCCAGCTCTCATATCATGAAGCAGACGAACTTGACAACGGAAATCAAGTCGTGCTACCGGGAAATACCTTTTGATGTTGTAAGTATGCACCTATTACCGGATACCCCATTAGCGTCATGGCCACCTATAACCGCCACTTAAACATGCCCGCACGTAACCATGCCCGCACGTAACCATGCCCGCACAAACATATGCATCCACGTGACAACCATGCCTTTATGTATTGCAGTTAATCGAAGGCTGTCGCCGTGGTTTCAACGACGAGAAGTTGCGTGAGGATTTTCGAGGTTTTTTCTATGGAGCGGAGAATCTGGAGAAGAGTCTGGAGAAACCGGAGTTAAGTGAGTATCATCTGGATCGCGTCCGATTGGCCATTCAGCGGAGGGATTTGCGTCTGGCGAATCGGTTGGCATGTTATAAGATGGTTGAGAAGCAACAAATAGATTCGTGTGTGGCAGTTCTGGATTGTAGTCGGCTTCCTGCTAGCAATCCAATCCTTACGGCGAACACACTTTCCGATATTTATCAAATTGCTGAGAAAACCTTGAAGCCAGGTGGTCGTCTCGTAATATTCCATACCAACATGCAACCTTTGTCTGATCTCTACGCACACATCAAGGCCAGAAAACACACCTGGACTAACTGCAGCTTCAGTGAGATCTGCTCCAGATCCATATGCTTCCTCCCTCAAAGGAGCCACCCACAAATGGACAACTCCATCCGACTGGTAGAAGGCTTCATCCTCTGTGCTTCAAAAATGGTACTCACTGAAATCAACCCAACACCTCTTGACGGTCACGAACCACCTAGTGGGCAAGAGCCTCCCTCTAAAAAGCAAAAGAACGAAGACTGCTAACCAGACAGTTAGCCAGCCATTTCCCTTTAAGACCCAAAATCTGCATTGCCGCCTCTTAGCCACTGACTTGTCTCTTAGCCGTAGATTTGTCTCTTAGCAATAGATTTGTCTCTTAGCAATAGATTTGTCTCTTAGCAATAGATTTGTCTCTTAGCAATAGATTTGTCTCTTAGCAATAGATCTGTCTCTTAGCCAGAGGGTTAGCAGTGGTAGTAGCCATCCTCTCGAACATAGGGCCATTTCGAGGGCATTGTATTCAGTTTCCGCTTGGGTTTTTTGCCGCAGAGTGATTGGTTCTGCACTGTTGTCAACACGTAAGAGATTTTCTGCACCAAATCCGGAGGGTTTTTCTTCCGGGATCGTGGAACGTTTTTTAGGCGGCCGCGAGGTTGGGATGGGATATGAGAACTCGTTCTGGTTGCTTCTTCCAGATTGGTTGGTGATTCTGGAGCCCTGGGTAAGGCCGCCATGTGGTCCACGATGCTAGTTAGTCTTCCAGTATATGCGTTGCGCTCGGCTGACCAGCCTTGTTTTTGTTTGGCCGCTCTCTCCTGTACTCTGTGGTACCAATGCCGTAGAGCGGTCTGAATCACAATAGCTGCTTTGTGTTTGCGGTGATAGTGGTATCTGAAATGCAAGTAGTTCTGGAGGAAGACGGCTGCCCTGCGCGCTTTGCTCCTAAGTATTTGGAGTCGGAAACAGAAGACCGAAGCGAAGAACACCTTAAGTACGGCCCTGGGATATATCCGAGATCGGTAGTATCTGAGTATATCGCAGTATCGTGGAGGATCGACGCTGGCTATCTTTTTTTTCAAATTCGAACTTATGAAAGCTTTAGAAAAGCCCAATGCATATTCATCCACCTTCAACAATGAGAAAATTGTTTCCACCAGATGTCGATCACTTATCATGTGTGGAGCCACATCATGTGGAGCCACATCATGTGGAGCCACATCGTGGTATCTTCCGTCCTCGAATCGATCTCCATCACCCCAATTTTCTCCCCGGTTCGACAGGCGGATTGGCTTGTTGAGCATCGGGATTTCAGATCGATAATGGTCTGCTATAACCTTGATGTCCAGGACGTCATCCGCAACATTCTGCATGAGATACAGTATGTCTTTTATGCCGGAGTTAATTAACTCATTTTTCACCTTCTGGAGATCGAATTGATACTGACCTGTGAAACCTTGATCGCACGGTTTTATATGGCGTATGAAGAGCATAGGAAACTGCTGCATGGTCGAGAATAACCGATCAATAGCAGTAATGAACGATGTAGCTTGCGACTTATGGGATGCGACCTGAGGCTTTTGAGTCTCGATAACGGTACTTATGGAACTGTTTTGCAAACATTCCGCCAACTCAGGCTTGAGATAAACGCATGCTGTATCCACAATTCCATTCGTCAAATAATACACCGGCTTCGCATAATGATTAATTTCAAACCCCAATTCCCTATTTAAGTCGCGCTTCTTGTATTCAAACAATTGCATACATAGATCAGTATACTTTCGATCCTTGCCGACATCAAATTTTGTATTTATTGAGTCGTTAAGCGCCATTAGCGCCTGACGGCACTTTAGCACACGTGTGCGAATTTCCAAACTCAAATTATCTGTCGCATCAGAAGTCGGTCGTTGCTGAAGTATTATCCCCTCCTCTCTGAGCAGCTCAATTCTCTTAATCCGGAACGTCTCTGTAAATTGTGCGTGGATCATTTCATTGACATAATTGATGAGCAATTGGTCAATACCACCTTCATCACCAACCAAAGTCTCGAATCCATAAATATCTAGAACATCGATAGAACAATTATAAAGATCGCAATGTGTATGGTATGTTATTCGATTCAGTGCAGCATTGATCTTATTAATACAATTTCGGAATAGAGACTCATATAATTCCTTAATCAATCCCTCTAATACCAACCGCTCTTCTCTCTTAGAGTACTGTCTGCGAGTATCATCAAAAACCTTGACTGACTCCAGTAATTCCTTCCATCGTCCAGCTGATTCAATTCGAAGAAGCTTGCCAGCCATTGCAACTGACTCTGCCGGCGAATAAGAGGTCCTCATCTCCGATGTTCCCATTTCCAATGTCCCCTTCTCCAATGTCCCCTTCTCCGATGTTCCCATTTCCGATGTCCCCTTCTCCGATGTTCCCTTCTCCGCAAACATTTCCAATCCATTCCCTAACAAGAGTACAATAAGTAGGCACCTCCAAAACTTTTCGATATCAATATCCAACGACTTTAGGCTATGCTCCACCGAAGTGATTCTGGAAACATAACTTATGACTCCGGTCATGGCTTCGTCAGTTGCTGCGACAAGGCTTCCGTCATCATGATTCCCATCACTATGGCTTGATGTCAGTATATGGTAGTCCTCTACGTTTGCGCTCAATCCATAATCTGGAGCTTTGTGAACAGCCATATAGAGTACTGGGAAATTCAGTTCATCTCCTACTAGCTTGGTGATCCGACCCTTTGCCAAAAGAAATGCGTGAATATTCAACTTCAGTTTGTACCCACCTCGGAACTTCAGAGATGACAGTGTCACAAACCGTGAACTATTCCTATTATTGCTGGTACGGGCATTACCAATTGACTCGAGCAGATCGGTCATCATCGCACTCTCCGGATCCTTTACAAAATGTCGAATTATCCTTTTACAGTTCTCCGTTTTTCCGCTACCGCTTTCGCCACAAAGCAAGATGGATACCCTCCGTCCCATCCTGACAGGGCCTTCTTTAGCGGGAAGCCGTGGGACGGAAAGCCGTGGGACGGGAAGCCGTGGGACGGTCGTCTCATCAGTAATTGGTTCATCAGCAACTAGTTCATCCGCAACTGACTCATGAGTAAGTGGTTCACCAGTGTCATAGTCGTCAGCTGGGAAGCAAAAAGTGCAAGGTGATTTCAACATTGTCACTGCATCGTTGGCTATGTCTATCGCCGAGGGTCCTTCACACGATTCCAAAATAGGAACACCCGGCAAGCCAAGAGGGTTCGGATTTAATGCAATCACAATGGGTCCTATCCTAAGACCATAGCTTCGTTTGCTCACATAGCCTTCCTGTAACAACCCGCATATTTCATCATTGCTCAGGGGCAATTGACCGCGCATTGCACCCTCATTTTCAGTCTCCGTTAGGTCCGCAAGTTTCGGGGAGTAAAATGGCTCAATTAACTAGTCGTTCATTTACCAGGCGATCGTTAACCCCCGCTATGCTATTTGAGGGACTCCCTCCCCGACCTGGCGGAAACTTGGTCCCGGAGAAAAGGTTCAAAGAAAACCCATCTAACCGCACCCCACGCGAAGCGCACGCATCTGATCACTTCATGACACCTCAAAGCGCAGACGATGGGAAGGTCCATGATGAGAACATGGAAGAGGACGATAAGAACATGGAAGAGGGACGTGCGCTCAAGTCCACACTCTCAGTGGACGGGGAACCATTTCAGGCGGATGCCATTGCAGACAGTAAGAGAGACCGTCTGCGGAGTAGTCTAGCGGGTGTTGAGGTTAGTTCGAATGGGATTGAGACTAACTCGAACAGGAACCAGTCTCTGAAACCGGTTTCGGAAGAGGCGGTTTTAAGACCGGCGAATCGAAGTGATGACGCGTGGATAGAAGGAGAGGGGGATTTAGTTGTGGTCCACGAGGCTGGATGTTCGCTCCAGCTTGCGTCTCCGCAAGGTCGTGGAGAGGTTCGTCTGGTTGCCCCTGAGTGCGGCGTCGAAGGCGGTACTGATACGGTGGCACCGGTCTTGATTTTGGACTGGTTGGAATTGACGAACTTCAAGTCGTATTGGGGTTTAGTGAGAGTCGGTCCTTTCCACAACAGGTTATCAGCGATTATTGGTCCTAATGGCAGCGGCAAGTCGAACATGATTGATGCATTACTGTTTGTATTTGGCCGTCGTGCTATACAGTTAAGACAGAAGAAGCTAACCCAATTGATACACTCGAGTGCCAATCATAAGGCGGATTTCGCACGTGTGTCTGTTATCTTTGCGAGGAGCTATAAAAGTAACAACCAGCAGGCTAACAACCAGCAGGCTAACAACCAGCAGGCTGACAACCAGCAAGCTAACAACCAAGGTAGTAGCTACCAAGGTATCGATGGTCATGAGTTTAAGAGAGAGTACGCCTTTACTTTGTCCAGAGAGATCCACGTGTCCGGTACCAGTCGATACGTTATAGAGGATCGAACCGTAAGTCACCAAGAAATGGTGGAATTTGTAAAAGCCCAAGGGATCGACTTAAACCATAATCGCTTCTTGATTTTACAGGGCGAGGTAGAGCAGTTAAGTATGCTGCCACCGAAGGCACCCGCCAGTTCTGGAGACTCCGGAAGCCAGGCTAGCCAGTCGTCTCGAGGTCGAGGAGGGTTGTTGGAAATTTTGGAGAATTTGTTCGGCAGTGAAGCTTTAATTCCGAAGATCCAAAACCGAGAACAAGACTATGATACCCTGAGACAAGCTCTGGATGAGTCGAGTGGTCTAGTTAGTAGATGTGAAGTAGAACTGAAAGCATTAGCTGGACCGTGTCGTCAAGCTTTTGGTTATGTTAGATTGCATAAAAAACTTATTGTGGCCAAAGCTAGACTAGAAGCGAAAGAGCGATATAAGCTTGTTACCGACGCTATGACGAAGGAGGCGGAGATTTGTGATCTGAAGAATGAAGAAAATATCTGTGTACAAAGCCTAGATCAACTTGACAAGGAATTAGAGGAATTGCGGCAAAGCACCGATCAAATGATCGCAGAGGAAGTCAATCATAATGAAGGGGAGAGTGACGTGGAGAGTGACGTGGAGAATAACGTGGTGCAAGGAGATATGCGGGGAGAGTTGAGTTATGCTGACAATCAGAACACTGGTGATTGTCTGTATGAGAACACTGGTGATTGTCTTGATGATAGGTTGAAGCGAAAAATCTTAATGAAGAAGTTGTCAGGGGTAGAAGGAAGAACAATGAAATCTGGAATCCATTTAACTTATGATCTGGTTCATGATAATATGGTTAAGAAGTTCCAGGAATTAAAAAGTACTAAGGATCATTACAGAATGGAAGAAGATCGAATTCAATCCACGATAATGCTTGATGAGAGAAAGTTTAGAGAAGTGTCAACTGAACGAGAAGCATTATTGAAAGAGATTGATATGAAGATTGAGGAAGGTAAGAACATAATTGAGAAGTGTGAAGACGCAAAGAATAATTTACCCAAACAAGAAAAACAATTAGAATTTATTAACGAAAAATTAATTGTGATGGATGATGAGTTGAAAGAAGATTTACAGGTAATAAATGATGAAATTCAGGTTATTACAAATGAGAAAAATGGTGTGTGTAGAAAATTCAAATTAATAAATAATATTGTGATTGAGAAAGAATCTATATTAGAATTAGAGAATGAAAAGAAGTTGGCTAAAGATAAAGAAAAAGAACGACAAATTGAGTTGTTAAAAAGTTTAAAACAGAATATTAAGACACATAAGAATGATTTAACGAATAAAGTTGGGTTAATAGAACATATTCATAAGGATCGAATATTATTGCAAACACGTGTGCAAGAATTAAAACAAATACTTGTTGATGGGAGACAGAAAAAGAATGAGTTGGAGATCAGGAAGTCTGAGTTAGAGAAGCGTCATAATAGTAAATCAGTAAATCGGCAGGCTGCTATATTATATCAAAAGCTTAATGAACAATTCTTGATGGAAAATTCTGTATTATATAAACTTGGTACTTGGTTATTAGATTATGTTGAATGTGATTATGAACAATATGGATCGGCATTAACTTCAGCAGGTCTTGGAGAGGATATAGTGTTAACAAGAACTGATGATGCGTCAGAAGCTATAATAAAATTTGTTAAACAAAATCAACTTGGACGAGTAACTTGTGTTACGATAAATCGGGCTGCTGATAAGTGGAGAAGACTTATGGAAGAATGGTATAAGAGTAAAGACAGAAGATATGGATCTTTGCAGAATATAATTCCTGTAATGGATTTAATCAAGATAAAGTCATTTGAAATGGAAGATAGTGAACAGAATATAAAACCAATTATTTGGTCGCGTGTTCGGGATACTTTATTATGTACAATAAATATTAATGAGGCTCGAAAGATTGCTTTTGGTAAAAATGAAAGATTTAAAGTAGTTACTGCAAAGGGTGAGGTCATCGAGAAGAACGGAAGTATGACTGGTGGATGCGGTATTAATTTCATTAAACAGGCCCATATATATCATTCTGGATTAAGTGTTGGGGGTGAAGAACGATCTCGGACTGATGAAGAGCGCGAATTAAAAAACGTTAAAGAGGATCTGCTAAATATCGATCGTGTCATTCGGGATAGTGTTGAAGAAGATAATAGATTGGCACAGAAAATTAATCAAATGAATATGGATATAAATTGTCATATTAATGAAGGCAAAGATCTGGAACACTTAATTCTTAATCTGACGGATACATATCAAAAAGCGGTATCCGAAACTCGTCAACCATTCATTGAAATAGAACAACCAGCAGCTCAGGACACTGACGGCATAGACACTGTAAATGAAAATGAACTATTGAAAAAACTTATGGAACTGGCCCCCACCGATAATAGTTTTGCGGAAATGGAGATCACCCTTCGATCCGTTCGTTTGACCAAGTTGATAGGAATCAGGGATAAAATTCGTCAGCACATTAAGGATCGGGATAAAAAACTCAGTATATGTTCCGAGCAGATAAAATCACTTGGAGGCGTTGAAAGGAAAAGGTTACTTGACGAACGATCCAGTTTGGAGAAAGCTATCAATCGCGATACTGATCTTATATCAAACGGTGTAGAGAAAATTAATACTGCTAATAATCGAGTCAAGCAGTTAAAGGAGTCTATCATCCCCTCTCTCGAGGCCAAGAAAGAATCATTGATCAAAGGCACCAATCATAATAAAGCGATTTGTGAAGACCTTATTCTGAAACAAAAGCTCCATCAAACAGCTCTTGATAAGTTCTCGAAACGACTTGAAAATTTCGAAAAAAAAATTCATGAAGTTAGACAACAACGACAAGGTGTTGAAGACAGAATTAGACTTTATAAGAACAAGCAAAATGCCATCAAGGATGCGACCAATGAAATCCAATATAAAGTTAATCAGCTACAAAAATTGGTTGCCAACAAGGACAAGCTGCTGGAACAGTTGTTGAATGACTTCAATGACCTACCAAGCATCCAAGATCTGGGCGGGGATGACACGGTGGATGACGGAGAACATGATGGTCACCCTCATTCTATAGACAGCAATCGTCATCCTGATGCCGAGGAGCTGAAAGGAGTAATCGATAGGGAACAAACAATTGGAGACGGTCAAGAAGCCATAGTGCTGAAGAATGGAGACGGTGGGATGGCTATTGAAAAGACGCCGGACAAAGCGGACGATGCCGATAATACTATTATCGAATTTCCAGACACGAAGAATCTGGATTTATACAAGACGCAAGCCACCGTAAGAGGACCCATTAGGGGCACTAAGACAGCCCATTTTTTCAGAAGAATTATCAGCTGGAAGTGTTCAAGTGGGAGGAAGAGGTGAAGAATTTGGGATCTTCTATGATGGATATTAGTATCATAACGGAATATCAGAAGAAGAGTCATGAGTGTCTGGCATTCAAGTCAGCTCGTGATAGGCGTCGAGATGATTTGGAAAAGGCGTATAAGGAATTGCAATCTTTAAAGCAGGAGCGACGTCAGATCTTCGATACGGGCTTTCTATTTTTAAGTGAGAAAGTAAAGGAGTTATATCAAATGTTAACCAGGGGTGGCGATGCAGAATTGGAGTACAAAGATTGTAATTCTCCGTTCACTGAAGGTATCGAATATAGCGTCAGACCCCCTCGAAAGAGTTGGAGGAGCATTCATAACTTGTCAGGTGGCGAAAAGACTCTTTCGTCCTTAGCTCTTATTTTCGCACTACACCACTACCGGCCAACCCCCATCTACTTCCTTGACGAAATTGATGCAGCTCTGGACACTCAGAATGTGTTGCTCATCGCCAGCTATGTGGCATCCGTACGCACATTAAGAAATTCTACACACACCCACCCATCTGCACACCATTTGCACACACTTGCACACCTTTGCGCGCTCACACACCTTTTGCGCGCACTCGTTTACAGACACGAGTTTACATGCCCGAACGTTTTGTTGCTTAGTGCCAGGCGAACAACGCCCAATTTGTGGTCATTTCGTTGCGCCACGAATTCTTCCAAAGAGCTGATAGACTTGTCGGTGTATGCAAGGTTGAAGATAAGACAAAGATCTGTGTTATTGATCCAGACAGGTTTGCCTCGTTGCCCGTCCGTAAGAAGAGATCCAAGCCCGATGAAGACTCTCCCAGGAACCAGTTGACCGACCTGACATGATCGGCGAGCAACTGGCTGACGTGAAATGCGCAGGCAACCAGCCAGTTGGCCGTCCTATATAGTATGACCAGCTAGCTGATCTAGTATGACCAGCTAGCTGATCTAGTATGACCTCAGGGTTTACCCGATCGAAGAGTCTGGTGGGTCGAAAGGGTCTGCTTGATCGAAGAGTCTGCCCTTAATTCCCTGTGGCTGAATTAATGCAGATTACATAGGAGGCCCCTTCAAACGTCTAATTTCCATTTTGATTCCCTGTGAGCCGCTGAGGAGGGTGCCTGGTGGGAGTGTGCCATCGTTGAGGGTCTTGAGTACTGCGATGTCCTGTTTGCACTCTCGAGCAATGTTGAGCATTCGTACGACGCGAGCAAGAACTACGACCTTGGCCTTAAGGACATTGGCTCGTTGGATGCCAATGACTCGTTTCACGGGTTTGAGAGCGTCGTATATGGCAGCGTCGTCTAATGTTAGGACGGCCTCGAGATCCGGAGAGGCACCGGTGTCTTCGTCTTCACTGTCGTCCTCTTCATCCAATTGATGATCTATCATTGCGGGGTCGACAGCATGCTTGGTCATAATGATACTCAGGATCTCGTTTAACTTCATGGAGACAAATGGTATACTCCACTGGAAGATGTCCATGAAGTTTGGCAAGTGGTACGGGTGTGTTGTGAAATTGAATTGCTGAATATTCAGAGTGTTATTCTGAAAACACACACCATATGGATCGTTCAACGAAGGACGGGTCGGAGGATATAAGTGGTCGGAGGAAGGGTTAAGTGGTCGGAGGGGGGTTTAAGTGGTCGGAGGAGGGGTTGGGGGCTTACGTCGAATTTGAGTACAGCTGCTTTATTGTTGTAAACGTCGCAGTAATTGGGTGCGGAGAAGATGGTGATGACTGTGGGGAAGTGGTTGACGGGGTGTGCTCTATGCATTTTGTAGCCGTCGACTTGTGCTTCGTGTGCTCGGACGATGGACAGGAGTTTGTTATCATCCAGGAATGTTTTAGCGGCGTGGTATCCGAAGAAATAGGAGCATCCTCGTACGTCGTTTGGGAAGAAAAGGTCGTTCAGATGTTGTTGATGTGCGACCTTCTCTTCGTCAACAGGGTCCGCCCAAAGTAGGTCGCAGAATGGACCCGATCTTGGTGGTTCTTGGAACCTGTTTATTCCGTTGATGCTGTCTTTTTTGCGTAATTGAGGACTCAGTCCTCCGTGTACGGCGAAGAACCGATTATTGATCAAGGCGGCCAAGGGGAGGGTATCGAACGCGTCCATAAAGGCTGTGTAGACTGCGAGATCGAATTTATGTTCACACTCGTCTCTGAAATTGAAGAAGGCAGTCATCTGTCTGCACTCATGATTCCCTCTCAATAACCAGATGCGTGTGGGATATGCTAGCTTTAGGCAAAATAGTGTTATCACTACCTCCACGGCAAACGATCCACGATCCACGTAATCACCTAGGAATAGGTATTGGGTGTCCTCTTCTGGTGCACCACCAACTTCCAGTAACTTTGCCATGTCGTAAAATTGACCATGAATATCGCCCACCACAGTTATAGGATCTTCTAGTCGCAATAAATTCGGCTCACATGACGTAATGGCACTCACACGACGGATAATGTGCAAACAAGTCTCCTTTGATACCTGACCCTGTCGAAGGAAATGGTCCTGAAGCAATTGCCAATTGGGCGTCTTATCCAAACCGTTCTCAAACAAATAACTATCTGGTAACGGCTTCACTGGTGGTGCCTCCACATCAGCCACAGCACGGTCGTGCAGTGGGTCAGGAAGCGCCTCCATTCGAGGTAGTGGCCGCGTCCCGGAACTCATTACTATTTCCCGGCTCAGTTAACTAAGGACACGTTTTCGATGTGGGGCGTATACCCAATTCCCATGCAGCCTTATGTGTTACCCTTATGTGTTACCCTTATGTGTATCACCACGTGCACTACTCTCCTGACCACTCTGTAGGTTTCCTCGTTCCGGTACGCAATTTTCTGTGCTCACACATGTGTGTCTGCTCACATCTTCACAAAACATATGCAGCAAAGTACTGATGGCGGTCACGTCGTTCGGAGATGCCGGGGGTCTTGTCACCAACCCGTTAAACGGCAGAAACGACAGAGGCGCTTTCATTTTCGTTTGAACGGCAAGCTGTTTCCTTAACTCAGCTGCCGTTTGTCTCTCGTCCAGCAACTGCCTCGTACAATCTTGATTGGCGGATGCAAGCTCATTCACGCTGGCCTCCAGTCCTTCAATCCGCTTGGCCATGGTCTCCGTCAGCGTGTTCAAGACGTCCAGCTCGCTAGCCAATCGTTGTAACTGCTCCTCTCGAAATCGCAGTATCATTTCACTCGATGAACCCCGATCAATGCTCTGGCTTTTGTCGTCTGGACATTTCGCTGAACCCCCACCCATGCCCCCATCCCCCGCTTTACATCGTTCTACTACTCGTAACAACATCATGGTTCGCATGTCTGTCTCTTACCAGTGTTCAATTCGAGTGCTAAGCGACCGGTCTCCTTCAAGAATTCGTACTAAATGAATAGAAAGAACACTTTCATAACACCCACTTTCATGTACCGCACAGTAGTAATCGACGGGGGGGGCGACGGGGGGGGGGGGGGGGGGGTAGTACTTTGTTTTTCCACCGAGTCGCCTCCGTAACGGCAAGTCGCAACTCGTGAGCCAGCACTTCGTTCTGTTGAGTATAATGGAGAAGTCTACGTCTGTACAGATTCTCAATGGACTCAAGGCTCTGTCGAACAGCCTCCAGTCCCGAGGAAGCAACCATGAGAAAAACAATACAGCTCTAATTAACTCCCTCCTTTTCCCCCAGCCCCTTCTGGGACGGACGTGAGGCTGAAGCAAACTGACACATTTTTGGAAATGGCTGCGTTGAATAACTACCCACGTTCAGCTATGTTGGGGGCTTTCATAGCTGTGAATTACGTGGTTTCACGGTGGATGGGCAGCCTAATGAAGTATGGGGTGCTCGCTCGGATAGCTTCTCCGATTGCGGGTCCTCTTTTGACGGGAATCTGCATTTCAAGTGCATTATCTGGCTGGCTGGGCTGGAAACAAGGTTTGCGGATGGAGTCCTACATCTGGCAAGGTGTCCTTGCCCTTATGTGGACTGTCTCTTTCTTCGCCCTACATAGCACGTGGCTCTCGGTCATCATTGCAAGTTTTGCGGTCGTCGCAGTTCTCTTCACCATGCGTTCTTTCCGCGGACATCACGCCAGTATTCTCATGACCCCCCAACTGCTCTGGACCATCGCCATGCTCCTCATGAACGCCGGCTTTTGCGCCTTCCGTCTCGGCTTCCTCAGCTTCGGAGGTCTCCAGTGGTGGGGACTAAAGACGGTGGGCATGGGCCTGTTCCACACAGCACAACACCTTCTTCTTCACTAACCACACAAGGAAAGGAAACCAACGATCCAGTCAATCATGCAGTTCGCCGGCGAGGTCGTAGGCTTGGACCCACTCTAAAGAACCCGTTACCCAGACGACTGACCGAACTGAAAGAAATAAGGTTAGAGTGGGCCGGGGAAGGGGTGGGCCAGGGAAGGGGTTCTACTTACTGTCGTCGTGAACCTCTTCTCGCTGGGGGGAAGAAGCTGCGGCTGGAAGGTAGCTTCCTCCAGGCTTCATTTTGGTTTTCTTCCGTCTCAGTTGTCGGCGGCGAGACCCGGTGAAAGGCGTTGGAGTGTTGCTGGTCATCGAAGTCGGAGAGAGTGGCGGGGGTTGGCTCCATTCCGGGGGTTTCTACGTCGCAGGTCTTGTCTCGTTCACCGTCCTGGCTCGGTCCACTTTGTAGATCTTCCCATCGATTCGTGTCCAATTGTTGGCTGGAGCTCCGGGAGTCCCGTATTCCGTTATAGCTATCCGTACCCGCATTCCATGGGTCTGGGGCGCTTGGCAGGTCGTCTCGTTCTTCCACCGATCCCTGCCACTGTCCCATGGAGCTTTCGGTACCGTTTAAACTTTTCCGCGTCTCTCTGGCCGACGAGGACTCGTCGTGTTGCTCTTCTGCTGCGGAACCGCTCAGCCGGTGCTGGACCGATCCTGTATGGGTCTCGCCAAGACCAGCGTGACCTTCGGCTTGGGAACCAGATGTGTCCGAAGAGGTGTAATTGTCTTCAAAGCACTTCCCATTCACGGACAGGCCCACGAGGGAATCTTTCCAATCGCTCAGTTCCGAGAGAATGAGCATGTAAGGAAGCACCGACCGAGAAAAAATAGACCTGCGAGACTGATCGTAGCTTCCATGGATCATAAACAACCCTATGAGAGCGAAGGCACTCCATACGGTGATGTAGCTGGCCAGTTGGCTCAAATTAACACAGGACAAGCTGCACAGTAACAAGTGAATCAGAAAAAACACCGAGTAGGTTAGGATCATGACTGGCATCCGAGTTCCCGAAGCGAAGAGAGGAGCCAACAAGAGAGCACCGAAGGAGGTTGTAGAGATGGTATGGTGTCCCACAGAAGAGAACCGCTGAAGCAAATAGGCTGCGCTCATGAAGTCCACCTCGCACAACAACAGGTGACCCACAGCCACCAGGAAGGAAGTCATATTAACTCTGGCCAGTCTTCTCGCACTCGGCACACGTGAGTGCACTTGCAAAATTATCGAATTCAAGAGTACTACAAACAAGATACGCACTATACAAAACATTAGAGTCATGACGGCAAAGGTATTGTCGTCATAGGTAGCTACCTCTTCGTCGTAGGGGATCAGAACGGCCTTTGCAGCGACTACGGAGTTGGCGCTCACAATCAAGTAAGGCGCCCATTTGGCTACCGCGATTCGGCGCGCAATGGGTCCTCGCCTGATGAGCAACCAAGACTCGAAAGTGACGTGGGCCACCTGCACCACCGTGACGAGAAGTATGTCGAGTCGGTCGAACTGATTTCGGATGCTGAAGCTCTGGATCCACTCGGCGTACCAACGTTCCATTTCCGGCGACGCAAAAGTTTGGAGAACCGTCTTGCGAGGGGATATGTTCCCTCGTTTGTTACTCGCTGTGAATACCGTCAGTTGGCGAGTGAGGGAGAACTCAATGAGTACGTTCTTGAGGTACTTAAAATTACTTCGCAAGTAGTAGGTTACAATAGAAGTAAAGGACTTCCAGACGGGCTTGAAAAAGATCCTCAAGTTGTTCATTGTGGCCGTGGCCCGGCTCTGATCGTTGATGCCTCCACGCACAAAGTCGAGAATGAGGTTTTCTTCGTCATCATCGGAATAAAAGCCGTCTATCGTGTCGCTGTCGTCATTTGTATGAAGATCGGAGAAGGTGTTGCACGGTCGTTCCTCCGAAGCGCGCTCGGAGGCGCGTTCCGAAGCACGTTCCGAAGCACGTTCCGAGGTCCGGTCTCCCGCTGCCTTCATTGCGGTACCATCGTCGTAACGCGCAAACCTGCACTGAGAATTTCTAACTACCTGGGGCGTACGACTGGTGAGGGAAGAACGTCTGCGTTTCAGGAGGTCGCCACGGGCGGGTACCCGACTGCTCCAAGCTGCAGTTCGCCGGGTCTGGAGTCTGCATTCGTCATGAAACGGGTCGCCCATGTCCGAGGACCGAGACCTGTTGGAGAAGATCTGACCCTGGCCAGCAATGTCTGCCATCTCCAGTAAATTACTGGTCTGGAAGAAGGCCTTCGCCTGTTCTGTAAAGCTTTCTGTGTTAAGATACCACCGGCTGTTGACAACTGAACTCGCAGTCCTGCACTTGGAAGCCATTTCGCCCCCGTCCCAGCGGTTAGTCCTCATGCGGTTAACCAACAGGTTCGCCACCGCGTCTATCAATAAGACCTCCAGGGGATGGATGTGGGTATCATTCAACACGTCGTCCGGAGTACCGCCCACTGAAGCACCACCGGCAGCGGACCGCTCGCTGAGATACTGGAGCAGAGACCGGTGAGGGACCGAACTCCGCTGTGGCGGGTTTGCAGCTTCCGGCGGACGCTGGAGAAACTTGGGCATCGTGTACGCGTCCGACAATACCTCGCCTCCCAGACTCACAGACTTCGGGCCACCCATGTCAGCACTCGACATGCCGTCCATCATGTGCAGACCATGCGCAGGTGTCAAGTAATCGGTGAAAACAAAGTGCGGACTTGAACCTTGACGAACGTGGTAGGTCAGGTAGTGCTGCAGGTCCCGCAGCACCGACTCGGCGCCGGGCTGCCTCTGGAAGTACTCCAGCTCATCTGTCACCAGCTTGCAAATCGCCTTCTCCCGAACCGCCAAGCTAGGAAAGGCAACCATCGCGGCCTCCATCAGCCGGTTACAAAGAAGAACCAAAAACGAGATTTTGAGGGTCTCTTTGAAAATGCAGTATCCGTAACTTATGAATATCAACACCAGCAACACATCCGACCAATCGGTAAAGTATAACAAGGCCCGGAACTCAGCCAGCGTCATCAGCACCAGCTGTGTCGCTCCACCCGCACTAGGCGTCCCCACCATTGGATAATCGCCGAGTTTCCCATTTTCGATTTTTTTGCGTCCCGTTTTCGCGCGCTTGTTTGCGTGCGCACGCGTGTTTGCAACAGCGTCCGTAATCGTAACTGTAGTATTGGCCATTGAATTATAAGAACTTGTAGAATATCCAGCGCCTCGCAGACTGCCGTGGTCCTCCACAAGAAGCTCGTCGTTGTTCTCGCCAATGATGGGGGATAGCCAATCTTCTGCAGCTGCAAGAAACTGTCGAGTATCGAAGCCCATCCAAATTGCATGAGGGGCATTGCGGAGTCTCTCTTGTATTAATTCATTGATGTCATCAAAGATACCCAGCCCATTTGACAAGGACCTTTTCTTGGCGGACTTGGACAGGAACATTTGCGTCTTCTCCTTGTGGGGTCTGCTGACGCTATAAGACGTAGCCTCATCACTGGGTTCTGGATTCTTTTTACGATGATGATGATATTTTGTCTTCTCAGTCGATAGAGGTTTGTTTAAACCTGCGGGTTGAGGTTTGCCAGAGTCGTATCGCCTCAAATTGCGATCAAATGAGATATTCGCGGCTGTACTGGCTCCACTTGAGGCTTTTTTCATGGCTTGCTTTAATCCTTCGAGTTGCCCTTGATGATCGATGTAGGCCTGATATTCCAGCTGTTGTTGGATCCGAAGGGACGAGTCGGTAATGGCAATAACCGATCCTCGCTGGGCCTGCGTTAAGTACTGATACAGTTTGCGGTCTTGATTTCCAAAAGCAACAATCGCGACGATTGTAGATAGAAGGGTCAAGAGCGCACAAAATAACAGCCATAGAATATCGAACGTTGTGAGGATGAATAAGAAGGCACAGTGCAACAGAACACCCTCCAAGCTACCCACCAAGCTATAGGCGTAGGCGAATGGAAAGGCCAAGGAATCCAAAATCATTACCAGTGCCAATGCCCACTGAGGGACATTAAGGACGAGAATCATCTGATTCAGCCCAAAGGCCACGGTACAGATAATGAACCCCATCGAGCTTATCAAGTGCAGCCAAGCAAATGAAGAATTGGTGGCATTCCCACTAAACCACATGTCCACAAACAGATGTTTGATCGCCATGATCACCAGCATGTGTTGTGAACTTATGCACAAAGTATGTCGGCGCTGACTCTCCTCCTGACTCTTGCCGCCGTGGTATGCTCTAAAGAACCCGCGGAACCTCTCCAGCATGGGCTCCATCACTACATTGATTTACATAGTCACAGTAAGCCCTTCGACTAGATCAGGCCCAGTGCGCCGCACACACGTGTGCGCACGCGTTTTTCCTTTCTAACCGATGACAGGCCAGGGTGATTCGGCTTACTTGGAGAGTCCCCACTGCTGATGGCGACGGACGCCTGTTTGGATAGCCAGGAGTCAACGTGCTTGCCTGCAGCCGCCGACATGGATCATTTTAGCGCCGGATAAATAATGGATAGCCTGCACAACGGGGGCGACGTTGAGGAGGTGGAGCAGTACGTGCAGGCGGCGTTGCCGCTCTTCGAGTGTGCGCCTCAGGCGTTGGCCGAGGTGGCGCCGCAGTTGCTGCAAGATATGTCGGTCATCCGGAAATCTGTGGGCGACTGTCGCACACTCGGGAACTTCGACCGACAAGAGTGCGACATATACGAAGGCTTTCTTATATTCTGCACGATCCTCATTGGCCTCGCCCCGGCTCAACAACAACTTGACCTAACTGAAGTCGAAAGTCTTCTCACCACCGGTTACTTCTCCCCACCCGTTGTGCTCCAGGCCTGTCACCTGCTCGCCCTCAAACAAGCGTCTCCTTCGGCTCAACTGCTCAAGCACTGCGCCTTGCGCTTGACTCAGCGGCTGGGAAAGCTGCAGCAATTCCTGGTGGCTTACCTCGCTACTCTCACCCGCGATATCCCGCCAATCGGACAGCCGGCAGGCGGAGGCAAGTCCGGGACAGATATGGGGGTGTCCCAGTTGACCGCATCGGGGGATGCTGTGTCCAAGACTATGCCAGAAGAAGCTGTTGCAGGGGCTGGGGAAGAGGCCGAGCACCGACTCGCAGCCGTGGCCCAAGGACTAAATCTGCGTCAGGATACCGCGGCATTGATACAGTCGTGCAGAGCAGGACGTCTGAGCATCTTGGAGTTGCTCAAGGCGCTGTCCGTGGAGCCACCGTCTGACGGTATAAACGGCATCTTAACTGAAGTTGCTGCGCTGAACGCTTACTCCCGGGTTATCCTTAACCTGAAACCTGACCTACCAGTCCAAGCGTTGGGCGAGACAGAGATAGAACTGCTGGAACAGCACTCCTCTCTCTGCGAGTCGGTTATGAATGCCGTCCGAGACGCCCCAGACAGAGAGCTCAGCGACCTCCTACTCGTGGTGATCGCCGAGAGCCTGATAGCCATGGCAGTCGCATCGCAACAACCCGTGGCCAAATTGGGGAAAGCCATACTTAACTGCTTTCGCCACCTACCTCACGACCAAGTCCTCGTGGGTCGAAATCTAGTCAACGGCCTCTGTCCTCTCTACCCGTATAACACGGACATCGGCTGCAAAATATTCGAGCTGGCTGACGTGTTCAAAGAACCACTTACTCAGTGGAAACAGTAAGCGCACTAGCATCCGCCCTAACGCGTTCCTCGCGAAAAGCTCCCGTCTACGCTCGTCTCTGTATCCTGTCTGAGCCCTTCCTTCTACACTCTGTTCCAGAACTGTTGTATCGGCGATACGACCGACAAAGGCGACTTGCCAGTTCCTGATATTCAAGCGGGCTTCGTTGTTGATGTCGTTTATGGTGTTGATTGTTACGATGACGAATAACCAGCCGACATATTTCCTGGAGATCTTCTGCGCATTTCTCAAGCAATCGTTCAGCGGTTTATTTCCTCATGAACGCTTATTAGCTCAGTAACCAACCACTCTCACTTGCCTCCCCTCCGGCCTCGCTCTATGGTCTCTTATCGATCGATCTTTTTTCAGTTTCGTGTTGATGGCGGCGGTGAATCGTCAGTTTTCGTCTTCGATGAATGTGCAGGGTTTGTCGGTGGAGGTGTGGGAGGTGTTACGGTTATGGCGTATGGTGGGGACGACGTCTCGGGAGTCGCACTTGATTGCGGATACGTGGTGGCCGGCGGCGGCGGCGCTGACGGACGGTTTGGTGACATGCTGTCGTTCGTCTGCGGACGTACGTTTTGATATGTTGCGTTCTGGAGTGGACTTCTGTCTGGGAGCGGTGATGGTGTGCACGCAGGCTTCGGATCTGTGGACGAGTGGGCCGTGTTCAGAGTCCGTTTTCAACTGGGGGCGGTTTCTGTTGCCTCTGTTGCATCTGAATGACCTGGCTACGTTGTATGATAGTGCATTCCGTTTGCAGGACCGTGAGATTCTGGTGCAGAACTCGCTCTTCGCTGCCCAGGCTTCAGGCATCTTCCAGCAGTACTTGGTGGTGGGCGCCATGAAGCAAATCATCTACCCCCTCCGGGACAGCTATCTTTGCGAGGTCGTCAATAAAATCTTCAGCGGGCTACACGCTATCAGCAATCGACTCAATGCCTGCCGGGAGGACTTGGCCCCAATCCACCACCAATTCGTCTACTCCAAGGCCGCCCTCTGGCTGGAACAACTCCTCAACCCCATCACCACCTTCGCTGGCCAAGACCAAGACAGAGTCGTCCTCCGAGTCGTGGAGTTCCTCCTCTCACTCGAACTCAACCCCGTCCTGATCCTCAGCGCACTCGCCAAACTAGTCCTCCTTATGCCTTCCTCCTGCAACAACAAGCAGCTGGTCATTAGTGCCGTCAAACTACTTTCTCTCGACTCGAAACTCGCCGATACCGCCTACCCTTTCAAGTACTCAACCGCCCAGAGAAAACTCATGACCACAGTCCTGCTCGCACTCAACGACCACAACCTTGTAGAGAAAGTCTTCAAAGTACGCTCAAACTCTTCGCAACACCCTTTCATGGGAGTCGCGGACCACATTGGAGTCGCGGACCACATTGGAGTCACGGACCACATTGGAGTCGGTGACTTTGCTGGAGTCGTAGTACAGGCTGGTGGATCTGACGCTGCAACGCAGCCCACTCTACAGGAACCTTCCTTTAACGCCAGGTGCGCTGATAGGTACGAAATAAGTCATCTCGGTTGCATTTGCTTCTTGTGCTGTCTTATTCTCTACAAGGAAGCTGGTACTCTGAGCAAGTTTGCTACTGCTGTTCAGAACGGAATCCCCAGTGATCAAAGTGCCATATATCCCTGGTACTGGTTAACTATCCCGTTTGATGCGTCGTTTGCTACTGAGGAGCAGAACTACAGTTTAGTCATCAAAGAGTCCAACACAATTCCCGCGACTAGTTTGATTCACGTGAACAGCATCTTGGAGAGGGGAGCTATCGTATTAAGTGCTCTAGCCTACTCAGCGGTGCAGTGGCTGGGAGCTAGAAGCGATTTGGCGCCTTTGGCAATTTTAGATGCGCTGCACACGTGTTTGTATCCGGATGCTGATAGAGTTTGGATCAAGAAAAAGCATTCTTCCTCCGCGGCGAGTCCGGAATTGGGTAAGTTGCATCGTCTCCTGCCGTATTTTGACCCGTACATTATTGTGGTAATCCAAGATTGGACGCAAGTATTGCAGCGAATAAAGGGGTCGAATTGGACTTGGTCGAATTCTGATATGCTGCGGCAAGCGTCTATGGTTTGCGAGGAATACATCAAGGTGATTGAGCTCCAAGTTGTGCAGCCGGTTTCGGTGAGTATATTTGGCGCATTAATGGCTTCCTGTATCGAATCTTTGGGGAGATTGGCAACTCTCTCCCCCGCACGAACAGTTGGGTTCTCCGCTTTGCACGACTATCGGTGGTACGAGTGCTTGAGCGGGGCCCCGTTTGCCAGTTACGACCTTTATCCACTCATGCCTATGTTAAGGATCCTTCTACAGCAGGCGCTGGATATTCAGCAACCTATGATAGCTTTATGGGTTATTCGAAGGCTGGCGACGCATTACTTTGACTTCGATTCCAACGAGCATGAAAAGGCCATTGGAGATATTACCTACACCCCGCTGCCATATAGCTACTCAGACCTCAGTTCGTATCTAGGAGCGGGCTATGCGTGGGGGCGGCTCATAATTCGCCAATTGCACGAAAATTTAGATGGCCACGGAGACTGGGACCAATGTGATCGCTTAACGTGCGAATGCCCCGCTATTGTGGGTACGTTCACGAGATTTCCATTTTCTGATGTAGGCAGTGGCGACAGGCGCTTTAATCCTTATAAAAGCGCCGTTTCCGCCAACGCTATCCACGGCCGAGGTTGCCGGGACAGCGTCTTCCGAAGTCATGAGGAAATGCTTAATCAAAACGGAGCGCTTTACACTCTGATCGAGGAATGCACTGAATGGGATGAGGACTATTATCATTACAGACCAAATTGGGAGATTAGACAGCGCTATCGCGATGTGAGATTGGAGTCTGCACGGCTGCTTGCGCTCATTCACAACAGTCCCGGTGACAGGCAGCGAAAGGGAAAGGGAGACGGGCTGATACGGGGAATAGTTCCCGTTACGGGAGCAGCCTCCATATGTGGAGGAGCCCCCGATAGGGGGGTAACCCCGTCAAGGGACCTAGAGTCGGGTCGTGATTCTGACGAGATAGGATTGCGCCTGAATGATGATACCATAGTTAGTATAGACCCCAATATGTGCGACTTTCTTCCAATACCGGAGAATATAGACTTTATGATAACTATCTGGGCCGACCTTCTGGACAAGGAACCGTCCCGTCCAAGGACCGGTCACGGACAGGTTGTGCGATTAGAAGAAGACGATTTGACCATCGGTCGCCTCTTATATAGCTTATTGAATTTGACTGCAGAGGGTCACGAAGATGACATGCAGTTGGCTCGGATTCTGTATCTGGCTACTGAGTCTTTGAAGCGGCCGAGGTTCCACGAAATTTTCTGCAGGATCCTATCAGATGGTCTGGACAAATTAACCTGCATTGGCGATAGTGTTTGGTTAGATGATTGCCTGAAGAAAGGGTTTCTGAGTTACCTCCCCTTGGACGATTTTATTCCGGAGCTGGTGGATCGTTACATGACGGTGGGTAAGTCACCGTACGCCTTGATACTTCGTGCATTATTGCGGAATGACGTGGATGCGGCTCTCGAATTGGTAACATATTACCGGGACTGGATGGGTTTGGTTAAGAGCAAAATTCGGTGGGTCGACCATTGCTTGAGTCTGGTGAACAATGACCTGGAGCGTTTACCGGCTGCAATTGTGCGTAAGTTGCAGCTATGTTCCGTGATGAAGTTGAATAACTACAGTACCGACGCATTCGAGTTTGACATGTTGGACTTGGACCAAGGAGGAGGTGAGAGCGAGAGTGCCCGTGTGTGCGCGGCTGTGGAGAGATCGATAGCGCGTGCGGACACGTTGGTATTGTCGGCAGATTGGTCGGATGCGGAGCGCATCCTGCACGTCTTATATCCGTTGGTATATTTGAAATGGACGGCATCTGCATACAGTTGGTGTGAGTATGCGTTGCGTCAGTGTCGCTCATTGTTGGTGCGTGCAGTGGCTGAGATAATTGCGGACCCGTTGATAACGTGTGTGGTAGTGTTAATGGCGCAGTGGAGTGCTAAAGGGCAGGCGATGGGTCCCAAGTACGGTGCATTCCAGCGATATTGGACGGGGCCACTGGAGACCGTGGCGGCAGCAGACGAGTTGGTGTTGAAATTGTTGCGTGTGCAGCGACAGGCACAGCAGGTGACATTACGGAAGCCGCCGGGAGCCGCAGCGGCGCCGGCGGTGCACCAGTTGGGTACTGTGTTGGCCCGGTTGGCACAGTTACCGGATTGTTTTGCGGGCGACGTGCTGTTCGACAGTTTGCGGCGCGAGAATGTGCTGCATGGATGGGGGGCGAATTTATTGAGACGATGGCTCCACGGGATGTTCGCATCTGCGGCCTCTGCTCGGCGTTATATTGTATTTTTGGCAGAGGCGGTGGAGTTGGCGGCAGCGTTGGAGGGCGTTGGCCCCGCGGAGTTTCCTACATTGTATATTGCGCCGTTGATGGAGTACAGTCCGGCTGCGGTGACAGTATTGTTGAGGAAGGCTCAGCAGCATCAGGAAGTATGTCGACAGACGTTGGCGGTGTTATTAATTCAGGGTAACTACGTAACCTTCGATGCGCGAGTGGTTGTGGCTTTAGCAAGATGTGTGTGTCTGTGTCCATTTTGGTTAAAGGTGGAATCAGTCTACCAGTCGGTAAGGAGGTTGGTGCTGCACTATAGCAGCAACGCCGTGGCGGTACTGAAGCGGACGGTAGAGCGACGGGCTCATGCAGCCTGTACGGTGCCGGAAAACATCAAGCAGTTTGTAGATGCGTGCGACCCGTTAGAAGCACAGATTAAACATTTGGAAGCGGTGGCGTTGTTGGGTAGTGCACTCTTCTGTGCTTGCCAGGCAGCCTCAATGAACGTGCATCTGGTGCATGGGCTGCTGTCTTTCGCCACAGATGTGCTGGGGGCTGCCGTGCCCTACTTCGGAAGACGGCACCAGGCCGTTGTAGCCTTCCTGTGCCATGCGGGACTTCAACCACTGTGTGCTCTCAAGCCCGAAATGCCGCTCCAAATGAAGGACGAAACCGACGCCGTGTATCTCCCATCTCGAGGCAATCCCGCCGCGTTGCCCTCGTTGCTTGAGGAGGCAGTCAACGTCCTCTGCACCCTCAGATACCAACCTGGTCAAACAGCACTCTTCGCCGAAGACAAAGTCGAAATTCCTCTAACACTTGACCAACTTGGTGGCTGGACTAGAACGGACTTCCCGGAACTCCCCCGCCATGCAGTTGCCAACCAAACCGAGCTTCCCAGACTCGTCGATCTCAGCCTTGCCACCACCAACCTCCTCGCCTTCGTCTTCGCCAGCGTCGACCCCACCCGGTCCGCCAGACCTCTCGTACCTCGTAAATACTTCGCCGTTCCCGCTGGTCCAATCTTAAAGAGCCACAAGCGACTCAGCCTACTCGCTCTACAACGTCTACTCTGGACCAGAAGATTATCCACTGACTCAAATCCAGGTCCAGCCCAACACAAAACGGGTAGTCTAGTTTCAGACGGGGTGAGTGGCCGTGAAGGTGGCCAGGAAGCAGAGATGTTGGAGTTGATCAAGAACGAGAGCGATTACGGCCGGGAGTTATTGCCACTGATATACAAAATTGATACTCCAACCATTTATATGCGGCCCTTGGTGGCGATGGCTGCGCGGGTTGAGACTCCTCTCATCACGCGGGAACGCGGCCTCTACCTCCTGCTGCCGCCGAGTCCGCTCCGGGATCTGCTCATCGTCCAAGACCCGAACACCCACTGCGAAGACGAAGAATCGGCGCCGCTGCTTGTCTACCGTCTCAAATTGCTTCAACAGGCACAACCCGCGGAGGGTGGAATCGAGGACTCCAACCGACGGAGCGAGGACTCCAACCGACGGAGCGAGGACTCGAACCGACGGGGCGAGGACTCGAACCGACGAAGCGAGCCCGTCGGTTGCGAGAACAAGGACGACTCGATCCGCCGGGTAAAAGATGCGCGCATGGCCTACGGCGTGCCGCCCTGCTACCGCGGGAGCGCGCCAGCCGAGGAGCCGCTGAGCAACCCGCTCCTCGCCCTGGCAGCGCGACTCGCGACGCTGCTCCCGCCGGTCGTGCCGGAAGCGCCTCCGCTGAGCGCTGTCTGTGCGCTGGAAGTGCTCGGGCAACTGGAGGCGTTCGACGACGAGATTCTGGCGACAGTGCACAATCCGGCGAAGCTGCTTCTTCGACTCAAGGACCGGTACTCCGCGACGGGGCAGTCTAGCGGGTGGCTAATCACTCATGAGCTGTCGGCTGGCCAACTGGCTACGGGCCAACTGGCTGCGGATCGGCTGCCTGCACCAGAAACGTTTTCTGCCAATGGTCGACCTGCCGGTGGTCAGCCTGCCGTTGCTGACGGCCCGGCCGGAGGTAAGGTGTTCCCGAGCAGGTGGCCGGCGGAGTGCTGGATAACGCGCCGGCACGTGGCATGGAGTCTGCCGAGCGTAATGGAGTTGTTGGCGCAGGTGCAGGAGCGGTTGGAGACGGGGGCGGTATTGAAGGTGGTGAGTGAGGCGTGGGACCGGCATACGCGGGGGGAATGCTTGAACTTGAATGCAGCGGGTGCGGCGTTGCTGACGTGTTGTCACCGGCCTTTGGCGGGGTTGTCGGGAGAGGCGGTGGAGCAATTGTTGCGGCTGCTGGACCGAGTGGTGCCGCGGATGACGGTGGCTCCGGCGTTGTCGGACGTGGCGGCTACCTGGTTGGCTTTGGCCTTGGCGGAAGGAAGTGCGGCGGCTGAGCCAGGCGGGTTGTTGCAGTTAGCTTCAACGTTACCGGCGTCGAATGTGTGCTGGCCGTTACTGGTCGGTTATGCGACAGGTGCGCCGCCGCCGCCGCCTGCGGAGTTGGAGAAGCGACGGAGTCCCGACGCCTTAGCTCCGTTGCGGTTGCGAGCCGCCTTGCTCGCGGTCGTCGTGCGAGAGCGTTTGTACCCGCTGTTGGCGGAACCTCGACGTCGAGATGTTCTGCCGACTGTGGAGGGATCGACTCCGACAACGGCGGCGACGGCGTTCCGACCGGACTTGGCGGCGCGGCTGGTGACCCGACCGAGCGCGGAGTCGGGACCGGCGGCGCTGGCATTCTTCGGCGCGTCCGCGGCGGCGCGGGGTGAGAGTCGAGCGAGGGAGAGCGAGGTCTTTGCTCTGGATGGGGATGTTCAGATGGCAGTGGCGACGCTGGCCGTGCTGGATGCGCAGCCGGCGGTCGGGCGGGCGGCCGTGTGGCGTTTCCTGTGCGACTGGGTCTTTTGCGCGGGTGCAATCGCGCGCGTGTGTGCTACCTTCACACGCCTCTTACGCACCATCCCCCGAGCCACCCCCGCTGTCCAGGCGGCACTCGCAGACTGCCTTATCGCCACACTCCTCCGACTCGGACCGCTCGGCCGACACGCCGGCGCCACCGCACTCTTCACACTTCCCGACCATCTACCCACACACACGCACCGCACACACGCACAAGCACTCGCCAAAATCCAACTCTGGCGCGCCGCTGCACACCTCGAATGCCGTCTCCTCCAACCCTACCTTGGTGGGGGAGGAGGCGCAAGAGGAGGAGCAGGTGGAGGAGGGCTGTTGGCCACGGGTGAGACAGGCGGTGCTCTGGCCGGTCCCATAAGAGGTCTGGCAGAGTTGGCGTTAACACCGGAGTTGGCGTTAACACCGGAGTTGGCGTTGGCGGACGTGGACGAAGGCGCGGTGCTGTGGGTGCGGTCGGGGTTGCAGGTGGTGGCTTTGTTGTTAGCGGAGGAGCGGCTGGCGGGGTCGCGTACGGCGGCGGTGTTGTTCCGCCGCGGCGGGTGCGCAGCGGCAGTGGCGGCGAGTCGTGCGATAACGCCGGTGGCGGCCGCGATGGTTGCGTCGCGTGCGCTACTACGAGCGCTCGGCTCCGAACGGTTATTACGGGCGTTGCTGAGTCGGCCGGGTGCGACGGGATTGTCGGAACGTGCGACAGCATGCGCGATCGTGCGTTATTTAAAACCGCGCGTACGCGAGGAACCGACGGCCGCGCAGTGGCTGGCGGGTTGCCACCGCGAGAGTCAGTTAGCGCTCAAGTTTGGCGCACTCGTCGGCGTACAGGACCTGCCCGCCTTGCACCAGGCGACCACGGACAGGCTGCTTGCGGCTGCCCTCAGTCTTCCCGACGACACGCTCCTCACCGCACATCGCCTCCGCCCATTCTGCACTGCGTTACTGCCACACACGCGCGCACCCGACCTCCTGTATTACGCAGCCAGCGCAGTCGGCACCGCCGGCCCCGTCGCCGACCTCGTCCAACACACCCTCCGTCACACGTCCGACCGTTACCTCTGGCTCAAACTACTCGTCGTCCTCGTCGAGGAAGAGAAACTTCCCTGCCAACGTCTCGCTGACTGCCTCCGAGACGTCCGGGGCGAAGCCCCGGACGTGGAGTCGCTGGCGGACCGGACGGTGGCGGCGGCGGACACGGCGAGTGCTGCGGCGGCAGTGCGGGGACTCGACCTGGACGGGTTGGCGACGCTGGCAATGGAGTTATGGGGACGGAGTTGCACGGTGGAGTGTGAGTTGGTATTGCGGGAAGCGGGGCGGCGATTGGGTGAGTCGTCGGTGGCGATGGATGTGGAGAAGTTGCGAGGGTTGAACGAGTTGCGTTTGCGTTCGAAGCCGCGGAGTCGTGCGAGTCCGGAGTTGCCTGGGTTACATTGGCCGTTGGTTCAGCCGAACGGGACGCCGGTAGCAGTGGACATGGAGAAGTTGGGTCCTATTCAGAGCTTGGAGGTGGAGAACCTGTTGGTTTTCACCTTCCTTTCGTTTCAATTGAGCAAGCGGTTGAATCAGTGGAGTTCGTTGTCGAGTATTACGAAGCATTCGGCGGCGCCGTTGCGTGCAGTGTCGTCGGCGAAGCTGCAGGACTGGACCACCCTTGAAGAGCTGGTTACCGGACACGAGTTACAGAGTTGTCTGGCACGTGATCTGGACGCCTTGGGTAAACTTCCGCAACTCGTTGTCAAACGTGAACCCGGCGACGGCACAACCTTCCACATGCCCGACTTCTGCTGGCTCCTATATCCCGCGACCAACACCGACAGCCTCTGTAACAAACTCAAAACGCTGGACAGAGATGTTATACTACAAAAAATATACCAAAGCCTTCGCACCGGACTAGCTGATTGCCATCGGAGATTACTCCTCGACAAAAACTACCTACATATCCACGCCTTCGGAGATACGACACGCGGTATCTACACAATCCTCGTCTTCATTGAACAACTCTTCTTCGCACTACCCAAAACTGGTACGCACACACTCGCACACATTCCACACAGTGTGTGTGCACACATTCCACACAGTGTGTGTGCACACATTCCACACAGTGTGTGTGCACACATTCCACACAGTGTGTGTGCACACATTCCACACAGTGTGTGTGCACACATTGCACACAGTGTGTGTGCATACTATGTGACATGCATACACAACTCCACACGACAAACTTTGTGTAGTTTCGGAGGTGCACGAGGGAACCCCGGTAGTGTTTCGGCCGCCGGTGCCGGACGCGTACAGCAAGTTGATTAAGGCTTATCGGCACTCGGTGCCGCGCCAGTTCGGGTTGGAAAGTTTAAGCGAATTGTTTGTCCGGCGTAACTTCTTGTACGCTTTGTACTCCTCGTTGATTAACCGGTGGCCGGCGTCGCTGGCGCCGATTGGGAACCAGGTGCAGGCGTGCATGAGTAACGCGTTACAGGACGTGACGTGGACGATGCTGAAGTTTGTGCGGTTGTCGCGGCGTGAGTCAGAAGTGCCTTTGGTGGCGAGCACGTTGTTGGGCCGGATCCGCGCTTCGGCGACGGATAACTATGAGGCGTTGCTGGAGAAGGCGGACACGCTGACTGCTCCGGGTCTGGCGAAGAGTCTGGCGAGTGAGTCGCCGGCGCCTTGTTCACTTTGGTTGGCGGCGCACAATTTACTGAGTGCCTCGCCGGAAGGTCAGGCGACGAACACCCTGGCCAAGGAGTCGTTGCCGTCGGCAGTCGGACCACATCCAGCTGGAACGCTGCATCCAGCTGGAACGCTGCATCCAGCTGGAACGCTGCATCCGGCTGGAACGGGGGGGCGTGAAGAGGAGGGTCGGCGGGGCCCCAGTGGGTCGCGTAAGATGTTTGGTGCAGCGTTGAAGCAGGTGGAGAAGGAAAAGGAGACGTTGGGTTGTCTCTGGGGTGCGGCGACGACGATAGCGGATCAGCATTACCGTGCGAAGGTATGGTTCCGGAAGGCGGAGATTTTGTTGGGGTTGCCGTCGACGGTGGCGCGTTGTATATTGGAGGAAGTGCCTGGCAACAGTTTCCAGAAGCCGTTGGATGACACGAGGGGCGGCGCGACATTGCGTGACCTTTTGGAGCCGGGCCGGCGTGTTGGTTTAGCGGTGACGAAGGTGCAAGAGTTAGACGGGGAGGCGCTGAGGTCCCGGCTGGCGGCGGTAGAGGAACCAGTGCGACAAACGGCCCTGCAGTGGCTAGAGTGTGCACTGGCCGAAGACCCCACCGTGGCAAAACATTGGTTTATGTACGGCGCCGTACTCGCCGTACTACAGCAACCTGCACCCAGCGCAGTTGCCTATGCCACCGCCCTCTACCTGAAACCCAATCGATTCCTCCCGCGTGCACTACCAGCCCTTATAGCCCTCGCAGACACGCATGACGCCGCCCGCCAGGTTCTTCGCAGAATACCCGCACTCCTTCACACAGCCATCGACCAAAGACTTCTCGAACCTCCCACAAACCTGTCACCCAACCCTACAGGGTCGCTCGCCCAACCCTTTAGGGTCGGCCACGGTCGCTCCCCCAACCCTATAGAGTCACCCAACCCTACAGGTTGACCACCTAAGAGTCCCATATATACCCGCCTGGTGAGATTCACCAGGCGGGTAAGCGAACACTCATCAGATGAAGCAAATCACCTTCAGCATACGACCTTCGCAACGGAAAGATATGTCTGAACCACCATTCTGCAATCCCCCATTGACTTGGACTCGAATCGCTCCACTCTTTCGGCCGCTCCCTGGACCACGGGGGTACTGCTTTCGCCGGTCATCTGACGTGCTGTACATGGCATCTGGCCACCGTGCTTGGTTGTCCCACTAGACATCAGCCTGAGTCATTTTTGGTGATCAACAGCAACGACTGTTCTCTTCCTTCTGATTTTCTTCTACATTAAAAAGACCTCGTAACCCGTTCCCCATGTGTCCGCGTCTGTCCGTTCTGTGTGGGCCTGTCTGTGTCGACGATGAGTCCACACACCTGCGCCCACACACCCGTGTCCACACACCTGTGTCCACACACCTGTGTCCACACACCCGTGTCCATACACCCGTGTCCATACACCCGTGTCCATACACCCGTGTCCATACACCCGTGTCCATACACCCGTGTCGACATGCAAAGCTCTTGCACATCCCCCTGTGCGTTATGCTCACGGGATCCTAGCATGTACGTATCCTGTTGGGGTCCTATCCGAACGCCATGAAGAGAGGTGTCGTGCAGATCAAACAAGCCCTTTTGCAAATTATCGTAAATCTTCTGAGCGCAGTACAGAAATGCCTCTTCTACTCCGGTCGCTGTCTTGGCGGAGGTTTCGAGAAAAATAAGGCCGTGCTCTCGAGCAAATATCGCACCTTCCTCCGTTGTAACTTCTCGCCGCTGGATATCACACTACAGCAAGACTTAGATTTGAAAGAGCAATCTGTCATCCAAATATCATCCAGATATACTATCCATATATTGATTACCTTATTGCCTATTAACATGATTGTTAGATGAACGTTAGAGTTTTGTCGGACCTCATCAAGCCAACGTGAAAGATGATTAAATGTTTCTCTTCTGCTAATGTCGTAAACTAACAATGCTCCAGCTGCTCCCCGATAATAGGATCTTGTGATAGACCTATATCCTTCCTGGCCAGCTCTACAATAATCACACAATACTTCCAGACCTTTGCTGCCCCAAACCTTTCACCGGCCCCAAACCTTTCACCGGCCCCAAACCTTTCACCGGCCCCAAACCTTTCACCGGCCCCAAACCTTTCACCGGAATCATGGTAAGATCCGGCCCGAATGGTGGAAACTCCGGCTGGAATGGTGGAAACTCAAGACTGCTCTAATAAGTGTTACGTACGTGTCCCAAATTTGTAACTTGATATTCCGGTCGTCTACAGTGATGCTTTTCGATCCAAATTCAACGCCAACTGTCAGATCGTAATCCGTTTGAAAATGCCCGTCCGTGAATTGGAGAAGCAAGCAGGATTTCCCGACGCCCGTATCCCCTATAATGATGTACTTGAAAAGGTAATCATAAGGAGCCATCCTGGAGAAATTTTTTTAGACTTAGTAAATGCAGAGGCTTATCACTCAGGCCCTAAGGCTTACTAGAGAGCCTCAAACAGGTAGGTTACAAAAGGCGTAAGAGGAGGAAAGCGCTTGAATAGCCGGAAAATGAACGGATGGAAAATGAGCGACTCGAGCTAACTAAATCCGACACATAAAGTCCGACACATAAAGTCAGGTACACTTTATGTATTATAGATCATAACCCATTGGCAAGACCTGATGGTGGATGGTATCCGGGTAAACATTTTGACCCTACAGATGTATTGACTGACCCAAGGAATTGGGCGGTGTGGAAACAGTTCATTATTTTCTTCGCCTCCATTTTGTTCCTGCCAGTCGGAATATTCTTAGTTGTGGAATATGTGCTAAGGACCCACTTCCAATTAGGTCTGAACAAGTCTACTACCGTAGGAGCGGTCTGCTCCATGTTAGTTCTTCAGGCCTTGATGTTTACATACGCTCGACTGGCCGCAATCGAGGACAAGGCTGAATGGCATAAAGGCTGCAATGAAGAAATCTCAGATAAACTCGAGGACAATGAGGCTAAGGGCAAGGAGGCTAAGGACAAGGAAGCTAAGGCCATGGACAAAGAGGCTAAGGCTAAGGACAATGAAATTAGGGATGAGGACCTTGGCGATAAAGTTGTTCCCAGCGAAAAAGACAGCGAGAAGGGCAAGACCCAGTCTTCCAAGACGCCTGTGGGGAAATCTCTTAGCCGAAAAAAATCCAGGTCTAAGAGCGCCACGGAGGAAGAGGTCATTGCTGGTATCCAGCAACAACATAATGAGACTAGAACGCGGGTACGGAAGCCGAGACTTTAAGCTTTTTATCTTTTTCGCAAAACCATGGGAGTGGCGGAACTGCCAGACGATCACCTCCAACAGCAGCTGTCCCCACTGCCCCCGAACAAGCGGAGTCGCCATGGAGACCACCCATCCGCCGAACCCCGCCGATACATTCTGAGCAGTGACCCCGCGAGTGTAATGGAAGCGGTCAAGGAGGTAAACAAACCCATCCCTGTCGAACACGTGCTCCTGTCGAACGCACTGTTCACACATGTAGCACACCCATGTTCACACATGTCGGACACACACGCGTGTTGCTTGCAGTTGGTCATCCTACAGCGCCCGGACTTGATGGAGGCTTTCTTGTCGTTCTGGCGGCTCTGGCAGAGTGGGCCGCCTCGGTGGCCTTTGTCACAGTTGACTTCTAGACAGCAGCGTCTGGCTGCAGAAGGGATACTGAGCTTGGACTCGGAGTCTCAGCGGTGGTCTCTCCTTCTGGCTCCGCTGCTGCCGGAGTACCCTTCGCCAAATGTCCCAAGTGCTGCGGGAGGCAATGTTGTGGGAGGCAATGTTGTGGGAGGCAATGTTGTGGGATGCAGTGGTATGCCCCTGGGGACGTCGAGTGGAGCGTCTGATGACGCAGGTGATCCTAACTACCGGAGCGGTTCGGTACCACTGGTAGGCGGACCCCTGATTGTAAGTCCCCAATCGGGCCCGGGAAGTAATGGGGGTCCTCTCCATAGCGGTGGTCCTCCCCATAGCGGTGGTCCTCCCCATAGCGGTGGTCCTCAGAGCGGGGGTCATCAGGGTATGGGATCTCAGAGTATAGGGCCCCAGAGCGGGGGTCCTCAAAGTGGGGGTCCTCAAAGTGGGGGTCCTTCGGACTTGGAATCAAAAATTCAGGTTCTGGGGTCTAGTGCCAGCGGAACGGTCGGACCTCCGGCACGGAACGGAGGAACGTCCGAGACATGGATGAACAAGTTTGCAGCGTTGTTGCCTTCCGTTGCGATGCCTCCGCAGTATTGGAGTGGCACGCTCGCACGAAATGATAAGCGTAAGACGCCGGTGACTTTGTTGGGTATCTCAGGCGACGTGCCACAATACATTCAATCGGTCAATGGACTATTGTCAGTTTCTTTACGATCTCCATATGAGGAAATGCTTAAGAAGGAGTTTGTTGCCTTTGGCTTATTGCAGAGTGCAGGAGGAGAGTGTGCCTCTTTTAATGAGTACATTTCGTACTTCGACTCCAAGAATCGAGCGGGTGTCATCCGACCACCCGACCTGGGCGACAACACCATGCTTTATCTCATGCCGCTCACTGTACCCGGACTAATCCCTGCTCTCCAGCCATTCAACCTGGACATCAACTTGGAAGCCAACAGCCACTTGCTCCTCATCGTCGCCAAAGCCGCTCCCGAATGACACTTCGAACACAGCTCAAACGCTTCTAATGACAATGCAACCTCCCCCCCCCCCCCAATGCCATCCAGGCGATGCCACCTAGGCGATGCCACCTAGACGATACCACCTAGGCAATACATCTAGACGACACCACCTAGGCTATACCACCCTTTAGAATAGATTAGCTACCCACAAAGAAACCCGCAACTCGAACTGAACTCCGTCATAAGACCACTCCTTCATAGAGACCCCCATAGAGCCTACAATCGCCGATACCACGGACGATGATCCTGATGGGTGGGTTGCATAAAGCGCCCGTAGTTCGTGGTTACCCACAAGTGAGTGCTTACATCAGAAAAAATCAATTCAAATTCCTCTTAATGTGTCCGGTTGGTGGGTTGAGGGGATAGTCCAGCGAACTACGTTAGGTGTGTGTGTGTGTGTATACCGGTGCACACACATTGTGCCCTTTTTTTAAATGAGATTCGATAGTGATCTGTCTTGATACATGCGTGTTAACTCTTTTCAGTCATTTGGAAAGGCCTGCGAAATCCAATCGAAAGCCCACAATTAGTCGAGAAGTTATTTGGCAATGAAAAGACGTCGGATCCCAAACCAGGCTGCCAGTAACGTTGCAAAAAGGTGGCTGACTTCGGTTTAGCCGAACAACCCATTCCTGACAAGATAATAATTATGGACGTCAAACATTCATATTTTGTTCTAGGTAAATTCAGGTTGAACCTGGGCCCTTCGGGGAGTAAGACCAAATGAGCCGTCGTAGGCCTCCGTGGGACGCCAACCACGCGCTCGGGATGTCGCAGGACAGAACGTGCCCGCACGTAATGGGTGAGGGTGAATAAAAAGGTTTTTTTGGGGGGACGACATGACTAGCAGCGAGCGCCCGATGCCAGCAACAACGCACCTCGACGACGACGAGAACGCTCACTCTCAGGGGCACCCGGCTGCCGGGCCGGCACACCCGTATCGGCACACCAAACCGACTCAAACGACAAGCTCTATTTATTTCCTTCACCGAGGTTAGTTGTGATTTGGATCATTTATTGGCGAGTAGCTCCAATTATTCTCTCGGTCCTTGAACAGCATTCGAATCCAGCATTCGAATACAGTATCCGCAAAGATGATTATGTCGTCAACATATGGACATTAGAATTGCCGTAGAGGTTGTAGCACTGCCGTAGAGGTTGTAGCACTTTATCCAATGTCCGTTGGAATAAGGCCGGAGCGACTTTCAGTCCGAAAGGTAAGCGAGTACCTGTGTGAATACAATCAATCGCTTACCTTTTGGACTGAAAGTCGCTTCAGCGTTATTCCAACGGACATTGGATATAGTCAGTCTGGACCGTAGGAGGTAGTTAGAGGTTTGGACGTTTCCTTCAGAGGCACTTGAGGTCGAGTTTCGTATAGTATGTTCCGGTAGCAGCTGTCTGGAGTAACTCCTCCATATTCGGATACCATGTTGTTCTTTGAGTATTTGAGTAACTTATTGAGCGGAATGTAGCTTCCGCATACTCTTAGGGGTTTATCCTTTCCGTATCCAGATTTTGCCGCACAAGGTAACTGTGATGGCCGTATGATACCAGCCGACAACATTTCGTTTGTGGCTTTTTGAGCTTCTTCTCTCACACCTCAGGTTTGGTTGGCTTAGTAAGTTCCAGTGAACAGGATACACTGTGGCTTCGGGAAGAATGTTTGTATATTGTCAATTTGCCCCCCACGTTGTGGAAAACCTATAAGGATATCAACTGTGGTGTGGCTCGGGTCTGATTTGTGCGTGGTCAGCAAGGGTCTAGATGTTCCTCAATGTTAGATCTTCCTCAATGTTAGATGTTTGGAATATTCCTCAGTTTCAGTGATTCGACATAATTGATTCGCTAACCAGTTCAGGAATCTGGCGGTCAATCTATACTTCGAAAAGTGGTTCTGGTAGAAATCCGCAACATGAGTTGTGATATGATGCGCTGCGTTCTGCTCGCGGAGTAGATTTTGTACGCTGGCTAGATTTTTGCTGGTTGACAGCCGTTAATAGCTGTTCGATGTTGCTGTCAAATCCAGTAGATATCGCCACAATATGTTCAGCTGATGGGTTGAGGGGATAGTCCAGTGATCCATGCTAGATAAGTATGTGTGCATTTGTGAAAAGATATTCCACATTGCCTCTGCCGGGTGGAAAATTCATGCAATGCTGCTGACAAGGGTGGGATTCGAACCCACGCCCTTTCGGACCGCGGCCTTAACACGGCGCCTTAG